TAATATAGTAATTAAACTGCGACCGCGTTGTTATTTTCAACATGGTCTGAATGGGGGTTGGAGCTCACATGTTTAGATCACTGTGTCTTCTTTGTTATGTTACTTCGAAACGTTATTTATGTGTAGTGAACACTATTTAAAAATGCAAAATATGAACCTTTTCCCCAACTTAACCTCGGGTTATATAAAAACCTTAAGTGTTCCTGTTGGTACTTAGCAACAACAATGTAACTTGAGATCAACGTAAAATGCAACTAATCAATATCCCTCATTCAACAAAATTTTCCATGAGTTAATCATGTTTATATAAGTGTCCGACTTATATTTCAGTTTTTTGCTAGAAAAAATCTATTGTTTGATTAAAAAATGGAGTCATTGAAAACAATTATAAATGTTTGGCAACTATCTATGCCATTGTTACTAAGATAAGTATTATGCATGGCATACAGTGCTCGGTAGAACTTGTTTTGCAGAGATTCGGCAAGGCAGTGATTTCAGTCAATATCATGTTTGGCTACTTGGTTCATTTCATAGATTTATGGCTTTATTCATCCTGAAAAAAATGTTTAAGAGAGCTCAACAGTGACAACGTTACTCAAAAAATATAGGCTAGATATGCCTCAATATGCCAACAATATAGTTTCTTGTTTTAAATACCTATCGTCAGTATGCACAACGCGACTCTTCTTTCCAATCGTCTGGCTGAATCCACAGTCAGTTCAATTCTTGACAAATCTAAGTGTAAGGACATTGTCGTTGGTGGCGATATTTCAAGCTATAATCATATTGTAGATAAATGGAGCAACGGAAAAAATAGTGAACGAGCCGTTTTATTTCGGGGTCGCGTTCGTGCTAGAGTACACGTTTTGTTTTGTTAATGAAAGCCACGGTCAAAATAAAGCTGTGGAACACATAGTTCTCTGTGATACTAAAAAGCAATTGCATAAAAACTTCTCAAACCACTATAAGATGTCATTTTATTTTGTTCGCTGTTGATACATTGAAAAAATCTGTCGTTGAACAAGTTTGTTTCTTAATTGCCTGACAATTAGGCGTCATGAACAGTCTAGTATATAGCATTGTAATGGCTCTAAGGTGTAACATGGAAAATGTATTGACGACAATGGCTATATAATGTTATTAAAGTGATATTTATGTATTCAGTACATGTATTCATACACACTGCTAAGTTTTCAAAATAAATGTGGGCATCTTATTTCACAACGTTCTTGATATTTTAGAGCCATATTTAGTGAAAGCAAGTTTGACAAAAATGTAATGAAAACCTTGTCATACTATTGTTTCTAGCTAATTCATAGTTCAGTGCACTGTATACGTAATGTGCAAAACAATTACAGTACGATAACAGCGTATGGTATTTCAGGTATAGCGTCACCTGAATCATAAACTGAGGATAGTCAGCAAAAATGACAAGTTCAAACAATCTCAATCTCGATGACATATAATAACACACGTGACTGAAATTTAATATATATGCTAAATGACAGTTTGACATTTAATTTTGGCTTTGCACTTATTATGAATATGAATATTTACATTGATTTTGATTGTTTGGGAGAGAAATATTTCACCAAGTGTTAAATGATTGGGATTGTAGTTAGACATTTGCATATTTTTTCTGTCAATACAAATTATATTGAGTAAAGATGTAACAATGATCACGGCAGTACATATGTAATGTATATGTAATAGTATGGCATTTCCAGATACTGAATTCACTATTTGATTATTAGTAAGCCGATGCCAATCATACATAAAAATCAGTTATGCAACTAGAATTGTCCTATATATATTATATCTAGCAAATACAAACAAATATTGCTTATGTGATCCACTTGAATATGTGTTTTTTGAAATAATGAAAGGGCCTATTTCATCACGTTCGCCGCATACGTTGTATATATAAGACTGATTGTTATAAATGTTGAATCTCCGATTTTAATTCCAATAACATATGAAGATTATCGTTTATTTAAATCTTCGGGAAATGTCAATATATTAATATATATAATTATATAATTCATTTCCATTGACATAACGATGGATTATAAACAAGAAACACATAATTGAAACAAATGAATTAATTATTCGAACAATATTTTATATTCATAACTATAATTTGGCTGTTACAATCAGTTTGATTTACATGGTTGTAGCGCCACCAATTGTATTACGATGAGACAGTATAAGTGACCCTGATCATTGTTCAAATAATCCCGTCCTCAATGATCCCGACGTACTAAATAAATGTTCTTATCACGTATGAAATCGATTACATACACAATACTGCAAGTGGTGTCAAATAATGAACTTTAGAACACAGCGACATCTATAACATTAATCTTACCTGACTTTTACAAGTCGCGGGTTCAATCAGTTGACTAATAGTAAACATGTGAACCATGTTATAGATATATCGTAAATACAATAAATTGTTACAAATGATATTTCGAGTTATTCGCAACTAACTATACATATTTAATTACAATGTAAACATACATTCGAATAATAGCCTATACATTATTGTACATAAAAATATAAATGCTGAATATATAATAAACATATTTTGCGCCATTTGAAGCTAATATAAATGATATTTACAATTGTGGTCGCTCCAGTCAGGTGCGCATTTTTATTTTAACATTACAGATATATTAACTCACAAGTTTACTAAAAATCATAAATTATTCGGCATTAAACGCTACGAAAAATGTTTCCGCTTTTCAACGTCGTGAAGTTATTTTGTTTTTTGGAGAAAAATACCTGAAATATATATTTTAGAATCGTATTTGTTTTGAAATATGAATAAAAGAAGCTGAATAAAATTACAAACTATATAGTGTGTTCATCAGTTCAGTATGTACAATAACTTCATTAAGTATGATCTTCCGTGGTAAAAACGAAAAGTTTTAATCGAAAACGGAAAGCCTTTATTGTAGTTTTAATTTACGTATTTTAGAAAAAAAGTAGTCAATACCTCGGCAACGCAAATATGTTAGTATTGAACACCAATCGTAGTTTACACAACTAACTAGTACGCGCCATGAAATAACGTGTGATTTTTCTAGAAGCAATGTTGGTTGCGCAAGCAAAAATATTGATACGTTTTTGAGCAATACCACAAGAACAGCTTCAAGCAGCACCACGGGAAGTACAAAAAGCGCAATATTCATTCCCCGTAAACGGGTTAAGTTATGACTATGGTTATCAATATACATAGGCCGCTTTTGCCGAAATGGCGGGAAACGATACATAACAATGTCAGTTATGTAAAGTAAAACCTGTAATCTGAAATGGGAATAATTTCAACATTTTCTGACACGTCCCTTAGCGATCGAACTATGTGAACATTGTAATGAACATGTTAAATTAATACATTGTTCCCAATTGTCGGTGACAGATGGATCGAGTGCAACAATGTATAGTAAGTTGTACGAGTACAATACTAAACAATTTGAGGCTTCAATGATCTGATGATTCTTTAACAAGAACTTTGCTTCCAAGTTGCTATTCGGTGTCCAGCTAATATCCCAAAACCAATAAACAATATTTATATATTTAGCACTGATAACAATGCAAATTGGTTACTAACTATGGATAAACACAGAATAATAAACAAAACTGTATCCATACTATTCGAACAAAATGAAGTCTATAGGGTTTGGTAATTACAGTAGTTGCTTTAGTCAGTTGGGCGTCATTGATGCAGCGCCGCCAAGCCATATACAGCAGATATTCGAAAAAATAACCTTGATAACCTTTGCCGAATTGAAAACACGACACATGCTCCAGACCGAACTGACTGTTCTTTTAGAACGAATAAATGATACACCCAACGAAACAATAATATATGCGATAGCATAGTATAAAAATTTAAGTAAATATATCATTATTGATATATATATATATATGTGTGTGTTTTTCAAGTGATCTTATTTTCAAACATTCTTCCAATCAAAAACTACTGGACATAGCCTCAGCAATATTACAAAGTTCAACTATCGACTTACAGTAGAATCACACCCCATTAGTTAGTGTGTCGTGTTTGAGTATTTGTACATGCTATTTATAAACGGCAATCACTATCAGCCATGGTTCTATCGGTATGTCATTTGGACTTTATTCTGAATATCCTTAAGTATTTACTGTATGATCACATGAGAATTTGTTGAAAACTCGGAAGTGTAATCTTCTAAATACAGTTTTTATGGAATAAAGAAAATATTTAATACAATTGTCGCCGATGAAAAATCGATGGTAATATGACTATTTTATTGTTTCACTTTATTTAAATAATTGTTACATGTTATATCTCATACAACAGCGTATTAAATTTTAACATATATAACCCCTGGGTAGAGTTGATTAGATTAATAAGATAACGACAGCAAATACAAGTATTAGCTTCTCGCGCGAATCAACGGTCAGAAAAACAGACGGATAAAACTACTTATTTAAAGGTCTATTAAAAGTATACTGCCTTTTTTACATCCGGGGCTCTGCGTAGAGATGCGAAATAACTGTCACCTAGAAAAATACCAAATATACATATAACGTTCATTTTTTTTACAAATCGAGGCATAAAATAAAATTGCGTGATGATGTAATAATTATAATATTCGTTATAGAGTAATCATAATATATTTTTTTTAAATACCGTATTATGATCAAGTGCTTGAAAATACTCTGTCAACTCGTTAAACGACGGTCTTCTTTCTGGATTTTCAACCCAACATTCCGTCATTTTAGAGTACCTGTGTAGTTTATCCGATAACAATTAACAGAGTTGTAATTAATAATAGATGACTAGATATATCATAATACACAATTATAATATTGCATATGTGTGACAATAATAGTTCGACTATAGTGAATTTACTAACAAAGAACGTATACAGTAAAATATAATCACTTTTAATTTATTTAATTTAAATCAATTCAATACAATTTATTATAGATACCCACATGTCTTGGCGACATTAATCTGGTCTTGTCATACGATATCCTTCTTGTATTGACTCGATCACTTCCTGCATTGACATATCTTTATATGGTACATCACCTACAACACAGTCATATACACGTGAACACAAGTAAATTAATTGAAACGTGAGCAGTAGAAATATATAAACAGTTATCCTATGATTATTGTCATGTGTGTTCATTTAAATAGTTACCTAATGTTGCAATCTCCCACAAAACGATACCATATGACCACACATCACTCTTAGTGGAAAACACGCCATCAAATATAGACTCTGGTGCCATGCGGGGTACAGGTAAGCGTCCCTGAAACAACGTTAAATTTACATGTTCAACCACTCTCCAATGAGTAATGTTGATATGTTTATGTTCGATAATATTTCAGTTTCGTAGATTACCTTGGTTTTTTGTTCATATTCGCTTTGACACAGAACTGTAGTTGACAATCCAAATCCAGATAATTTACATACAAGATTTTCATTCAGTAGTACATTGCGAGAAGCCAAGTCTCGATGAACGCACTGGGATGGAAAAGAAAAAAACATGACTAGTAACATTATTGCATAAAAATTATCTTGTGAAAGATAAGCTATCCCAACTTACTCCTTTTCCTTCAATGAATTCCATTGCATTATATATCTGATGGGAAAAAGCAACACGATTGTGTTCAGAAATAGTGGTCACACCATCTAGTAGATTAGCATATGTATTTCCTATATTTGACTTTTGTCCACGGATATACGTTAGGAGGCTTCCTAAAGTCATATATTCAAGGACAACAAATATGGGACCTGATAGAAAAAACAAACATAGAAATGATATAGTAACATTGCCATAATATTATAATAAACATATATTAGATAATTTGGTTTGCAGACAAATGCATTACAACAAAAGGCAAACAAGGCAAATAAGAAGTATATATCATCTTGTGTACAACATCCAATCAACGTCACAATGTGTGCATGGGATGTAACTGATTTCAGAAACTCCAACTCTTTGATTATTAAGGCGTTGTACTCATCAGTAAGCTCATCTGCAATGAGAAAGACAATTCATGTTAACTACACAGGTTAAACCATAGCTCATTAATTACTGAAATTACGTGATGGACATGTACATACCACACACTCCGCACTGATATTTAATACTAAATACAATATATCATTTTTTTTTATTTCTGGTAATTTTTGGGGGATACTAAGAGAATTGACATTTATAACACAGAACACAATAATAACAAGTATAAAGCTGCAAAATGCTCACTTCCAGTTATGTTCATGTTTGAATCTAGATATATGACACATGTCAAAATACAAAACAAAATGTAAAACTGTGTGTTCATGTTTAGGGACATGAGCTTGCGAAGTATGCATAATTAATACCATTCAAATAGTTAACAATACCTACCATTTAACATTTTGACAGCTACAGTCAAATGCTTATTTTCTAATTGGTTACACGTTGTCGTAGCTTTTACTACTTTTCCAAATATTCCTTTTGCAATAACTTCTCCAAGTCGAATAGATGCTCTGGGAATTTCCCATGGTACTTCACCATGTTTCATATACACATGATCAGAATTCACATTCAGGCGCAAATCCTCATAGTCATTAGGACGCGAAAGTTTCTGACAATCAGGTTGCTGTTCGAGAAAATGAGAATGATGATATGTGATTTCAAACATTTAACAAATATTACAATCATATGTTACGTGCGAGACAATATTAGGAATGCTGTTTAATAAATGTGTTAACGGAAACATATTCACCTCTGCCTGTAAATGTCGTTGTAAATGTATTATGTATATCCATGATATTATAATAAAAGCAAAAAGTAAAACATTTACGCTAGTTAATGCAATGATACCCCCGTGTGTAGTACTTTCTTCTGATGGGTCTGAAATAAAAAATATATAGCAAAGTATATTTTAAACTATTTATAAATTTGACTGACCAAATTATCTTGCGCACAAAACTAGATATCATGATTAGTTTTTATTAACGATTATAACACATAGAAAACTTACAATGAATTACATTTACTAATATTTCACCACTTATACTTTCACCGATTGTACCATCGTGAAAATCTGTTTTTGCATAGCTTGTATATATTCCACTGTGTTCTTCACTAAATGATGTAATGATATAAAGTATGTGCAACTCATATTCCACTTCCGCCACGACATTGCTATTGCCATTGTCATCTGTGTGGTTTATATACATTTCATAAGGACGCAGGTTAGCATTGGTTGTTGAACAGAGTAAGACAACGTCACTTCCTTCATAGACATTAGTTCAACCAACAAGTGAAATATCGGCCGGATCTAGAAGGAATAAAATTGTGTAAGAACAAAAACGTCGTTGATATCACTGTCAAATTTATTGAGTTTTATATATTCATCTCATGCATGGAAATCAAGTTTATTTTATAATAATATTTTTAAAAAATCATCACTTACACTCTACATTAATATGTATAGAATCACTGTCTGATGCAGTTGATTCATCCCAAAATACAGTTTCCGCAAAACACGTGTATGTGCCACTATCAGTTCGTGATATGTTTCTCATATCCAGTGTTGGTCCAAGGGAAAAAGAACCGTCTGGATGTATCCATATTCCTTCCACAACGGGATTTGAATCTACCAAACACTCAGCAATGTATGTATCTCCCTCAATTACTGTTACATCAGTTTGATTTACTATATTGGCAGTTGGAGGGTCTGAGAAATATAATGTTATTTGGACATAAAACGTTTTTGTAAACGTAATATGATAATCATATTCATATATGGTTGTTATTAATATATGTCACTTCATTGAATGAATGTAGTGTAACATTATAGGTTGCCTGATATTTTCCTAAAAGAAATAAAATTCTCTCACATTGCACATTAACGGAAATCGTTGTGACACCAACTCCTTCAGAATCATCCCAAAATGTGTTTCTAGCCTGACACGTGTAATTTCCAGAGTACTTCCTGGGAAGCGTCTCAAAATGTATGCTATGTTCATTACTGATAACATGCTGATTTGGGCTAAACCATATAAATGTCTCTACATCCGGGTTAACCTCTAAAACGAAGCATGTCATAACAAAGGAATCACCTTCTATCACATTTCCAGAACTATCGACATCGCCAGTTAAACTTATTTCAAGTAGAGGGTCAACTGAAATAAAAGAAAGATTATAATATCTAGATTTGACAATAGTGACATAAACTCATCTCATAAATATATCACCAGAAATCACAGGCTGTCGCCAGTTCCAAAAATAAAATCTAGTGATTGATTATTACTACGATTGTATGGCTCAAATTGATCAATGCAATGTTGATTGGTGACAATGATGAAGTATGACAATGTTTCATAATGAGATTCTGTCATAAATATATATATATATCACAAAATTTACATTGAATATCCATGACTATCTTCTCTTCACATGATACTAGTGACCACTTTGGACGAGGTAGAGTATAATGTTCTAGTTGACAATCAAACACATCACCATTATTGCCTTTATACAGTATTGTCGTCCATGTGTTTTCCATTCCAGTCGTTCTCATAACTTCTACATTATTTTGGTACCATACTAGGTCACCCGGAGCGCTTTAATCTAAATCCAAGGTGGAACTTAGCGTGACTGTGTTTCCAGTGATTATGGTGACACTAGGATCAATTTTGCATTCTGGGCGTCTTTCTGTAGGGATATTAATGTGAAGAAGTATATTTTTTCAAATAACAGAACAACCATTCAACATTGAATTGACGTGACAATTGTCCGGAATGTTCATTTGCAATAAAGAACGTTTCCGCATTTTCAAACATATGTTATTCAAAGAAACTTGTCTCAAGTGTTGATTGTGTACTCAGCAGCAACAGTGTATTACAAGGACGCTTGTGCTTACCGAGTTGCCAAGTTGCGAGTTCGAATTTTGCGCCTGTGCCTGTATGTAATCTTATGGTAGCATAACAATAGACACAATGTACTTACCGCCTGATGTTTTTGCTTTGATTATTTTGATTATTCTCATTATTTTTTCCCTGTAAATTGGTTATTGGCGTAATTTTGAAACCTCTCAAACTACTATAGTGGAAATATGACGTATATATTCTTTATAGTGAACGAAGTGTAATTTTTTGAGTCAACAATCCAGCGAATTATGTAAAAAAATGCAACTTTATGTGAATCACTGTGAGGTCTGGTTAGTTGAGCTTTGGTATGCTTGTTCGTAAGGCCAGGGTCATTTTTGACATCTAGCAATCCTTGGCAACCACGTTCCTGACCAATACAGTTCATACTCATACATTACATTCATTATCTTGAAAGCTTGTAAGTGGGCATGTCCTTAGCAATCGCTGACATTCGTATAATCGTGGTTTCAATGGCCAAGCCAATATTCAATGCTAGCAGCTATATTTCTGATTACTTTCACTCAGTATTTAGTTATTTACTAAGCAGATTTTTCTCTAAGGGGGATCGTAACTGAGTAGGTTGATCCGACCATGATTGTACTACATGCTAATTCAAGTTGTTTTCATGGACTGTGTGAAGTGAAGCGCATTTTCCAAGTTGTGAGTTCAAATTTAAAGTTACATTTATATATATTTTATTCATACATACACCTGTACGTTTGAATTATAAGAAGGCCATACGCAATTCAAATCTGTGGCGTCAGAAAGTGTATTAGACACTTCATCGGTATATGACTTGAGGTTATAAAGAAAGGTACGTCGGTTACCTAAGCACATGTGCTATTTTGTAATAAATATTTTT